AAATGAAGTTAGAAATGAACGATGCTCAAAATTTCTAAGAGTCTGTCTCTTAAGTAGTAATTTGTCTCTTAAGTAGTAATTTGTGGGTATGTATAGTCTCCCCTGTGGCCATAATTTACTCCTACTCCTTTGAATCTTTAAATCTCCAAGTCAATTTGACAAATAACTTCCCACCCTTTTGTCCACTACGAGAATTATGAAATTAAAATAATAAATAAAGTTTTGTAACAACTTATCAATTAAGTTGCAACCGTGCAAATATTCACCTCTGAAACTTCAAATTGTCCCTTCTCAATCGAATCAGCTTGTAACATATGAAATAATGGTTGAACCAAGCCTATCAAATTTGTAGATGAAGAATGATTGAATCTTCTTGTATAGTGTAATAGGTCCAGTTGGAGGAGGTAGCCTCTTCTGAACTCTGTTCTATTTGCCCACCAAGTGTTAGCAAACTCTGGCAAAAAAATTTAACTATATATTTTTTCCAACTTCCAATTGAAAACTTGACAAAACCGAAGAAGAGAGCCCAATTCTTACTGATATCAACCCAAGGTCTTCCACCACCAGCAGTCTTAGTCTCTACGGCCTTCCAACCACTGGAATTACAACCATAAATGGCAACAATCACTTTCCTCCAAAAGGCCTCCTTTTCAAAGCTAAACCTCCACAACCATTTCAACAAGGGAGGTATTTCTATACTGAAGAGAACCTACACCCAAACCTCCAAGGGCAGTCAGCATTGAATTGGTTAGCAGCTAACCAAATTGGTACCTGGTTTGTAAGTTCCCCCATGTCAGGCAAAGTCTCATCATTTTCTCCATGGCTCTTATAGTCTTCAATGGGGCCTTAAGGAGCGTGAAAGGGTAGATGGGGATACTATTCGACACCGATTGAGCTAGAGTCGATCTACCTCCCTTGGAAAGGAGGAGGCCAAACCACTTGTCCTGTTTCATCACCATTTTGTTGATAATAGCCTTTTCAAATAATCGTGGGAACACTGCTACTAAATCATGCTTCACAATGTTCCATGCTTTTTTAAAAAATTTGCTAGTTGTACCATCGGGGCCTGAGGAATTTTGGTTTCCCATATCGGAAATGGCTTTGAAAATCTCTTCCTCACTAAAAGGAACCTCAATGCTTCCTTTTTCATGCTCTGTATTGGTGTAGACATGCTTTTCCTTTCAATGATTATAGCTTTTGCTGATCTGAGGTTGACAATATTGGTTGATGCTTATTGAATGATAACTCTGTTTCCAACTTTCAGTGGGATGCTTGTACAAGATCCTACAAAGGGTAATGATGTGGATTCACTTTTCAATCACGCTAGACAAATGGGAGCTGTGGAAGGCCCTATTGATCATGCCCGTTCATCAACCTCCAGCAGCTTTACTGGAACTGGTAGGTTACTCACAGGAGAAACTGTCCGTTCTGCACCTGATCAGCCTGAGAACCTTGTTCACAATATTGTATTCTGGAGTAATGGTTTTACCGTAAATGATAGCCCTTTGAGGAGGTTGGATGATCCTGAAAACGCATCCTTTTTGGAGGTAGATGAAATATAATACTGATGATGTTCTAATGAAATATTTATGTGTACACACGCACACGCGCACACGGGCATGCATCCATGGATAACTTAAGAGCGGAAACAACATGGAATGCAGTTTATAGAAAATACTTGATCCTTTACAAGTGTTTGTATGGTTTTCGAATTCTTGAAGAAATGTTGCTGGATGTGTTCTTGTTTGTTTAGCTCCGTTGGGTACATTTCTTTCTTCGAATTACTGATTACTGCCCTTAGGTGGGTGTCTTTACATGTTTATATGATCTTTCATCAGAGCATCAGAAAGTCTGAGTGCCCCAGAGAGCTTGAACCTGCAGACAGGAGGTCCTCCGTTCATGTGAATTTAATTAGGAGGATGGAGGAGTATCGTGTAAGTATCCTTATTAGATTTCACTGGTTAGTTCGGTTGAGGATTAGAGTCCTACGTTGGCTAATTTAGTGGAAGATCATGGGTTTATAAGTGAGGAATACTATCTCCATTGGTATGAGGCTTTTTGGGGAAGTCCAAAGCAAAGCCACGAGAGCTTATGCTCAAAGTGGACAATATCATACCATTGTGGAGACTTGTGATTTCTAACATGGTATCAGAGCCATGCCCTAAACTTAGCCATGATAATAGAATCCTCAAATATCAAACAAAGATTGTGAGCCTCGAAAGTGTTGTAAAAAAGTGACTAAAGTGTCGAACAAAGGGTGTACTTTGTTCGAAGGCTTCAGAGAAAGGAGTCAAGCCTCGATTAAAGGGAGGCTGTTCGAGAGCTCCATAAGCCTCAGGGGAGGCTTATAGTGTACTTTGTTCGAGGAGAGGATTGTTGAGGATTATTGGGAGTGAGTCCTACCTTGGTTAATTTAGTGGAAGATCATGGGTTTATAAGTAAGGAATACTATCTTCGTTGGTATGAGGCCTTTTGGAGAAGCCCAAAGCAATGTCATGAGAGCTTATGCTCAAAGTGGACAATATCATACCATTGTGGAGAGTCGTGATTCCTAACAGGTTCTACAATACCTAGATATACGAACCATGATAAATGATTTAAACTTACTCGTTAAAGGGTTGAGAAACTGTTTGAGTCGATAGTTAACCGTTAAGAAACGCTAAGCATCTTAGACATTGTATTTTGCATCTTGCAGGAACCTGAGAAGCCACGTCTTCCATTTCAAGGTGTAGGAAGAACTCTTGGTGGTAGCGCCCCAGCAAACGAGCCAACTGCTACTCCCACCGATGTCAATAGCAGTCCAAGCCCTTCTGCAGGCCTGGTCGTGGATGACTCGTTGCCATCAACCTCGATTCAGCTTCGGTTGGCAGATGGAACACGCATGGTAGCTCATTTCAATTACCATCACACAATCAGCGATGTTCGTGCTTTCATCGACGCGTCTAGGCCGGAGGGTGCCAGGAACTATCAGCTGCAGTTGATGGGCTTCCCTCCCAAGCTTCTTAACGACCTGACTCGGACAATCGAGCAGGCCGGTCTTGCCAATTCTGTTGTCATCCAGAAGTTTTAGCAAACTAAGATAAGCTCTCTATGCAGCATTGAAATGGTTCTCTGATAGTCATTCAGTACATTTGCTGCTATAAGTTACTGCTTGGATTTATATCATCAATCCACCAAAACTGGTCTTTTCAGGTTCAATACTTTGTAGAGGTAAACAGGTAGTGTTGAAGGAACGCATCGGAAACACCCTTTACCCGGGAGTGATTTTGAGATCGTTAAAATCACTTTGAAAACACACTTTTGACGACGTGAAAATTGAGTTTAAAAGTGTAAATAAATTGATATTTAACCTGTTAGGACAGGTTGATTTTGAATTTGACAAAAGCGATTTTAGTCATTTCAAACGAATCACGGCAACCTCCTAATATTTGGACCAACCCTGAGACAAGTAGAGTAGAGTAGGCACATTCATAACATCAATTAATAACATTAAATATTCTTAATCTTTTTAAAATAAAGTAAGGTTGTAACCCTATTTTCGCGTTGGTCAGGTTTACTTGACCAAAAAAAATGTCAATCTACATATCGAAACAAATTTATGGTTTTCCAAAGCTTTTAACCCAACCCGAACCGAACAAAATTTCAATCCAACAACCTTTATGATTTGGGTTAGATAGTTCACTAGGTCGGATTATCGAGTCATATGAACACTCTATTTAAGTTGATTCAATTGAAGTTTAAGGTAAAACTATACAACTCGTTTGTTTGTTTGTTTTTTCAACCATTGTAGAATAGGGAGTTGAAACATCGACATCTTAGATAATAATTGTTACCTCCTACGCTTAGCTTAGGCCAACTTGATAAATTTATCGGTAAAAGTTGAATTTTTTTAATAAAAATTATGGTATGATTTAAAATTTAGGGTATAAATATTGTATCATCAATCATTAACCTTTTCTAATCAAATTTCTTCCTTTTATGGCACCAACGGTACAATATGCTTCATTTCAAAAGCAAAAAAACGGTACAATATCCTCAAAAAGACAAACTGTACTTCTAGAAAGTAATAACTCCATATATATTTATTTATAACTAAAATATTATTTCGTCGTCTCATTTTTAATTTATTTTATTTTTCAAATGTTGCGGAGCGTTCCGACTTGAAAGTATACGTGATTCGATCGAGAAGAAGCTTGATTATTGGAATGAGTTCATAGCCATCCGACTAAAAACATAATTTTTTAAATATATATTTTAAAAGTATATAAAGAAATTTTGACTAATTGAATTATGCTCAAGTCCGTAAAAAAAATAAATATATTATGGATAATTCGAAGCTATAAAGACTAAAAATAAAGGAAACAAAAGAGACCTAATAACCCGAACAAACTCTACTATCTAACTAGGGTTGAGTTGGGTTAGATTTTTTTTTTTTTTTCCGGTTTGGGTTGAGTTGGGTTTTGAAAAACTGAAGATTCGACTTGGTTGGTGGAATGAAATTTGTTTGTTCGGGTTAACCTAGCCAATTTGAAGATAGGAATCACAACTCAATCCAACTCAACTCTATGTTCCTATTTTAAAGATTTTTGTGAAGATTAAAAGTATTCGACGTTCGTAACAGGTCAAGGTTTGACTTTGTTTGCAGAATGAAACTTTTTTTTGTTTGGGTCAACCCGACCACCTCGAAGATAGAAATCACAACTCAAACAAACTCAGCTCTATGTCCCTATTTTAAAGATTCTTGTGAAGATTAAAAGTATTCGACGTTCTTAACAGGTCAGGGTTTGACTTGATTTGTAAAATGAAACTTTTTTTTGTTCGGGTCAACTCGAGGAATCACAACTCAATCCAACTCTATGTCCTTATTTTAAAGATTTTCGTGAAGATTAAAAGTATAGGACATTTGTAACGGGATACTAAAAAGAAATATATATATATATAAGTAAAATTAAAGCATAAATAAAAGAAAAGGAAAAAGAGAAATAAAGAAAAGGAAAAAGAAATAAACATACAAACTTCCAACGTACGTGTGAATGTAAAAGGTCCCGATTGCGCTCCAGAGAAGGCGTCAGTCTGGATAGTGTTCATCTTCAACGATGATGAGATTAATGATGACGAGCTAGGGTTTCTGTTCTTCCCCCAATTGCTAGGGCTTTTCAAACGCCGAATTACGACCTTCGTTCTTCACTTCTACTGTCGTATCTCTCAATTCCGTGCTAATTTCGTCACTCTCCCATTGCTCTCTCACTGATGGCCAAAACCAGACCAGGCAAGAAGGACCTGGACGCTTACACCATCACAGGCACCAACAAGGTTGTTAGAGGTAAACTCCTTCGCCTAAAACTACGGAAACTTGTTTCATTTTGCGTTAAATATGCTCTCTCTCTGTCGTTCTACTAGAATGTCGTCCAATGCTGCTTTACGAGTTCTGATTTCGCGGATTTTGCAGTTGGAGATTGTGTGTTGATGCGCCCATCGGAAACGAGTAAGCTTCCGTATGTTGCGCGTGTCGAGAAGATCGAAGCTGATAATCGGAACAACATTAAAGTTCGAGTGAGGTGGTACTATCGACCGGAGGAGTCGATTGGGGGGCGGAGGCAGTTCCATGGTGCTAAGGAGCTCTTCTTGTCTGATCACTACGACGTGCAGAGTGCGCACACCATTGAAGGGAAGTGCATTGTTCATACGTTTAAGAACTATACTAAGCTTGAGAATGTTGGTGCTGAGGATTATTATTGTAGATTTGAGTACAAGGCTGCTACTGGAGCTTTCACGCCTGATCGAGTTGCTGTGTGAGCTTTTCACTTTTTTGTTGTATAGAACGGATTCTGGTGCAAATTGCTTGAATGCATTTTGAATGTTCCTGTTTTTTCTTGCAGCTATTGCACCTGTGAGATGCCTTACAACCCAGACGACCTCATGGTGCAGTGTGAGGGCTGCAAGGACTGGTAAATATTAATGTTAATTCTGGGAACTAATGTTTACTTTTGTGTACTGAATCCCTGAATCCTTTTGTGTATTTGCACATTCCAGAGTGAAATGTATACATAAGTAATTGAAGGTTCGAATTTTTTTGATGCATGGCATAATGAATTAAGAGTGAATTTAGGATAACTTTTAAGGTATTGTTTTAAAGTGGCACACTTTTTTTTTTTTCAACTTTTTGCTAGAAGCACTAATCAAGTGCTTCTCACTTTAAAATTTCTTTTTGAATGTTATTTGATCTTTCAGATCGCTTTTTGCCATGTGACCAAATATCATGGAAATTTTGAAATTAATTTTAATTTGTTAGATGTCAGCTTTATGAACCTCACCTTAAGTTTGTATGAATTAACAATTGAAGAATGTTTAATCAAAGATAAAGTTCTAGATACACTGAAATGGCTTTTAGCATCAATCGATAGATGCACCACAGACATTATTAGTCCATACAACGGTCATCTTAATCGGGGTTAATTAATGTTCTATCCAAAGGTGAAAAAGCTAATCGTCAAAGTGCAATGTGATGTGCAGTCTTTTATGGATTGTAATGTGTTGCTAGAAATGGAATATTCACTCGAACTCTATTCTATTCGAACTCCATAACTTAGTTGTGATTGAAGTGGTTTTGTTATACCATTTTGTTTGATACTGGAACTTTTTAGAGAGTCTCGAACTCGAGAGTTTTCTGGAAGCACAAACCTTTTATGTTTCCTTTGGCCTATAGGTACCATCCTGCTTGCGTAAGCATGACTATCGAGGAAGCAAAAAAATTGGACCATTTTGTGTGTTCTGAATGTGCATCCGATGCTGATATCAAGAAAACTGAGAATATATTTTCAGCATCACCGGTGGCCGAGGACAAGGTTAGTACTGTTATCTGTTGCTTCCTAAGTAGAATGGTAGATGAATATGAATCATCTTCTCCAGCATATTAGCCTTTTTGATTCACGTCAGTTGTTCTTTTTCTTTTTTTTTTTCCTTTCTTAGAATTTAAAGATTAACTAAGTAGCACACGACAGACATGAAGACAAATGAAATACATGCAATGCTTGCCTTTAGTTAATTCTATATATGCTGAGCTTCAGTTTGGTTTCTTTCCAATCACTTAAGTCTTGTTTTTTATTTAACTTCGAAGGTTTTTCTCTTGATTCACTTGCTATTTGTTTTCCAAAAGCCAGTCTTGTGATTATTAAACAACGGCCATTGGGCTTCCTTTTTTATGATAATCAATCTGTGATCATCGTCTACTTTCTCATGTCTAATGAATAATTCAGGTGCTATTGTTATGTGTTTGGTGAGTTTATCCCAAATGGTTGGTCGAATGCCTTCTAATATCTGTTACTTCTACTGTTGTATTTGTTTAAATTAGAATTCATTGATTGAAATAATTATATACCAGATATATCATTTTGTTTTCTGCGTCTCCCAAATATTCCTCTTAGCTCAAGAAAATTCTGACAGCTACCTAAAACGTGTCTGTGTGTATGATGAAAAGAGTTGAGTTCTTTTGTCAATTTGATTCATCAATGAACAAATTCATTTTTCTCATAATAATTATGAAAACAAACAGTTCCTTATTTTCAAATGTTATTTCTTTGGGCTTGCCCATGTCATATTGGTCAATTGCTTAGTTGTTTCTGTATAGTTTTTTAACTTTCTAGCGCAAGTTGTTTCAAAAGACCCTATGATCCATCCAACTAAGAGGACATCATTTGTTGGGAGGCCATCTTCCCGAAAGTTAAGGCTCAAAATATTAGAAGTACTGGAATCTCCCCTACGCCCTCCCCCCCCCCCCC